AGGAAACTGCTGTCCCTTAATGACATTTATCATTATTTATTGTGCGAAAGTTATCAAAATCAAAGCAACAGTATGTCATTTTCACCACTAGAGGGCACTTATTCACAACAAACAAAGATTTAGTGTGATGTCGCCATAACTGAGTGTGGAATCATGGAAGTTGTGCACCAACCTGCACACCTGCCTGGGTATTATTTGTTACAGTAGGCCTGAAGTGTTATGATGTTGTGCTGCGTTTGTGGAGATCCTGAATTCGTTTTTTTTTTTTTTTTTTTTTTGAACCAGCTGACAGATTTGGTCTTGTGGGAGCCGTCAGATTCTACATTGTCAAAAAAGAAAGAAAAACTGTCCCTTAATATAATTTACCGATATTTATTCTGCATAAGTTGTGTTGAATGGATCTAAAGTAAAAGCACAGTATGTCATTTTCACCATTAGAGGGCCCCTATTCACAACAAACAAAGATGTAGTGTGATGTCGCCTTAACTAAGTGTGGAATCATGGGAGTTGTAGTCTTCACTGAATCCTATGAGACTACAGAACTTGATCGCAGCAAAATATAACACTTTTTAAATGCTTTTCAGATTTCTCAGTGTCGTCAGAACAAGGCTCAGAACCTTGATGATTTCCAACCTGACCAAAACGTCTCCTTCAAAACACATTCACTGTGCACCAATCTGCACACCTGCCTGAGTATTATTTGTGACAGTAGGCCAAAGGTGTTACGATGCTGTGCTGCATCTGTGGAGATCCTGAATTATGTTTTTTCTTTTTAATCCAGCTGACATATTTGGTTTTCCTAAAGTTTTGTGGGAGCTGTCAGTTCCACAAGCTCAAAAAAGCAAGGCAAACTGTCCTTTAATATGATTTACCATTATTTATTATGCAAAAGTGATCGTAATCAAAAGCACAGTGTGTCATTTTCACCACTAGAGGGCACTTATTCATGACAAACAAGTAGTTTCATGATGCAATATGTAATGAGTGTGGAATCATGGGATTTGTGATCTTCACTGCATCCTATGGCACTACAGGACTTGATGGCAGCAAAATGTAACACTGCTCTAGTGTTTTATAGATATTTAAATGAAAAATTTTGACATATTATGGCTTAAAGGACACAACATTTCTGAAAAACCAGTGTATGTTCATTAGTTTATCCCTTTAATAAATATCGTAACTGCTTGCTTTTAAGTTTTCATTAACTCAACAAAAAAAAAAAACTCTCAAAATTTACTTAGAGTGATGCCAGGAACACAATTTATCCAAAGAAATTGGACTGTTTTTCTTAGAAAGCAAGTTAAAGTTTCCCTTTTTATAGATGCAATCACAAATGTTAAGTAGAAGTGTAAATGTTGGCTCCGGCTTGTTCTCTTTGGATGACTTCCAGAGGTAGTCAAACACACATTTCAGCTGATTGCTTTCCTAATGTGAACAGTCATGTGGTCAAACAGCCACAATAGACCACCTGCTCTTTGCCTACTGACCTGAATCTTAAACATTACATAATAACGTATTTCTGAAGCATGCCAACCAGACAGGTGTTTCACTTCATTGTTGGAAACTACAAGCTTTTCCTGTGCTGATTTGAACACAAATCCACAGTGTTCAGCATATTTTTGAGCAGAAATGAAAGCTGACAGTTTCTATATTGTCTTCAATAATGTTCACATCAAAATGATGTGAGTTTACTTTAGTAGTATTTTAGATTACTAGTATTGTAATATCAGAAGCCTATACATACACCCATCTATTATTCATTTTTTTTTTGTATTTAAAATTGGACAAAAGATATTGGGATGGAAACACCAGACATGTGTCCTACACTAGTCTCACAGTTCGGTTATAATTATCATGCCATCGATTCGGTTCAATTCGATATCTCGGTGCATTGATGATGCTTTCCATAAACAATTTGATATTTTACAATAATTGTTGCATTAAAATTTATTGTTTATAAATATATTTAAACTTATATGCTATTTGTTATACAATTTTGTCCTTTAATACAAGCAGTCAGATATATGTACTGTACCTTTAATTTCACCTGCTTAAAGAAAGCACTCTTTTGATAGTATTAAACCAACCTTAAGGACATGCACAGAACAACATGAGCATTTAAAGCAAATAAACAAATATAAATATTACCCCGCTTGCTTTTGAGCATGGTTGAGCGAGTTTTTCATTCTACCTCGATCACGCGCTCAACATAAAAGGCTGCGATTGGCTCTGGTGGTTAGCGCAGCTCTGGCGCTGTTCAGCAAACAGTGACACAGACACTGATGTTAAATGGCCGCCGCGATCAGCTAATCCATTACAGACGCAATGCAGTGGAGAAAACTCGCTCTGCAGATACGCTTGTTCCTGGATCCACAATTAACATTATAGTTGTAAGAGCCCAGAGATGAGATAAAATGTTACCTCATAAACACACCAGCAAGTCAAAGGGGCTACAGAAAGTGAGAGGGAGCTGGGCTCTGATGTACTTCCCTGTCAGTGAAAGACTGTCCAGCAAACCCACAAGCATTGAGTCACAGTTATCTGCTTTTTTAGTAGTAGTTTTCACGTAGTTGGAGCATGTTAATTACTCGCGGTCTCCTCCCATGCCATAGTAAGCTACTGCCATATAACACATACGTGATGAATGACGTCAGTACATAATAACTGATTATGATTATTACTGATGGGGTCTTGTCCGGGATGGGAGTGAGGTTAAGGGGGGTGAGTGTAGAGGAGGCCAGCCAGAGAAGTGCTATGCAGGTAAACCTCACTCCTCTGTTCTCTAAAGGTGACCTTGCGACATACGCTACAGGCCAGATCTTTAGCTTAATTGTTAGAGCAACTGACTCCCATATAAAGAATCGCCAGTTCAATCCCAGCTCAGAGCAGGTTGGTTGCAGTAGGACCGGTGGATTACACTAGCATAAAAGCCCTGATCCAAACCCACACCTCCTGAACACACGCTACACAACATCGCTACAACACATCACGTAACATAGTACAGTATAGTACAGTTAGTAATTACAAAACCAAACTTTAAAAAAAAAAAGAAGGTACTGCTGATGTTCGCCTGCAATTCCCTGTCTGATGATGCAATCACATATTTAAACCTTAAAGATATAGCAGCAAAATCTACCGCATCTTAATACAGCTTTTGGCCAAATTTGGGGCTTGTATAATTTTTTTATATGCCCGGATTATAAAAATTTAATATTTAACATTTTTTTATTAAAAAAAATGATAAGTCTTACAGGCATGAGGAGATATAGCAACAATCTTGAATGCAGAAGGCACATTTTGACCACATTTGGGCCTTGTGGCATGAACGGCCTAGGAGGAGATACGTTTGTTTTCAAGGACAGAGTAGTATAACAGTATGTTGGCTTTCTCAATTACAAATTACAAAATTACATATTTAAACAGGCAACAGGCAGGTATGACAACCTACTGCAATGTTCAGAGTGAACGTTTTGACTGGATCAACACTTCTTTGTTTTTAGTAATTAGTAGACATTTATTTAGTGCTAGCATCAGTTTAATTACTTCAGTATTACATATTTCTATTTTTTGGTTTCTTTCCTAGACTTTGAACATGTCAGGACTGTTGCGGTCTATGGAGGATACCCTCATTTGTGTTCAGAAGATGATTGAAGGTTTCAGAGGGATTAAATCGACATGAGGTGGAGTAATCAATAACAGATTTTTCATTTTTGGGTGAACTAATCCTTTAATTATCACGCCATGTTGAATTTAATGTTGAACATGACAGCCTCTGCTCTTTGTTCATTCTCATTGTGTTGTTCTGCTGTGAGTCATGATGATTGGTCTCAAGTCTCAGGAAATGGGAAATGAGCGATCTGGCAGTTGAACATCAGAAACTGTGCTAAACAACAACACCACGCTTTAGTGAAGAGCCAAAACCTTGACAGCACTGAGAACAGACCTTCTGCCTTCAACTCGCAACTGCAACGGTTCACAATGGACAATGAGAAGAATGAATCACTCAGTGCTGCTTCTGGACCACTTCAGATTAGACACATTGTGATTTATTTAATATGGTAAATGCATTTTATGTAATATGTAGAAATGAGATTAACTTTCTGACGAGATTTAAAATGTTGAAAAACAACAAGAACTTATTTATTTGAGAATCAAAACATTTATGAGCATTTGGTCTTTCACATTTATTATTAAATGCCCAATTTGGAAAATTTTACAAAAAAACGGATGCCATTTAAGTCCATTATATACCTAAATATGCCTGAATATTATTTCAATAATAAAAAAGGGCTATATTTATATTTGTTCAGTAAGTTTTTTTACTATTAATAGTATATTTAAAATTGACAAAAAAAAGGTTTGCAAATGAGAGAAAAATTTAGATAATTATTTATCAAATATTTTTTGCACAGAAGTTACTGCATTGTGCAGTTTTGAATGCTTTATTTTTACAAAGCCTTGTATTAGTTTATTTATTAACGTTAACTTATAATGAACATCACTTGTATAGCACTTATTTACCATTACTCAACATTTACTAACATATTATTAAAATCTAAATAAATGCTTGTTAACATTAGTTAATGCACCGTGAATTGACAAACTGTATTTTCTTTAACGTTAACCAACATGAACAAATATTTTCAGCATTTGCATTAATAATTGTTTACATATGCAAATGTTTGTGAAATGTGTGGACATATACATTGTTCATGGAGGTATAAGATAAAGTATCTGTGCATTTGTACATATATGTTTTTTTATTTATTTTGCATATGTTTATTATTATTTGCTGACATTGAAAAACTTTAAATAAACTGTTTAAATGGTCATAAAACCCCTGTTTCAGTTCAAGTCTACTTACTACTACTAAGTCAAAAATTGCACCATGATGGGCATGATGAACTGGGGAGTGGTCGTGGGTGGCAGAACCTTGAGAAAGAGGGGGGATGATAACTGTGGGCTCACAAAATCAGACTAAAAAAAATTCAGACTCAAAATTAAGGAGACGCATGATTTTATAGTTTACAAAGTTACAGTGCAAAGAAATAAACAGTAATTCAATGCCCTGTTACATATATGATAGGCTGTTTGTAATGTCATATATTATATAAGCACAATTTGTTATATAATTATAAAGATAATTATGTTTATATAAACGCTATAAATGAGGAGGACTTCTCTCCTCCTGAATCCCTGGGTCTGAATACAGACACTGTAGACACTCTAGCCTGGTTTATTTCAACCATTAACCCTGCCGGTAATCTAGAGATTTTAAACAACATGAGTATAGGGGATGTGTATGAATTGTAACAAACTTAACTGATAAAAGACAAAGGCTGCTATTCACCAATTCTCGTAGAGCTCTCCTGACAAAATGTCAGTAGCCCTGACAGCATCGAGGCAAAGCCATGCAACAAACCCCGCGAATCATAGAAACAAATACAAACGACCCATCATAAATGACTAAATACTGCATGCAGTGCGCAGTCGCACAACTTGGGAGATCTAGAAAGCATGTGCAGTCATGAATTAAAAAGCCGGCTCTTCTCATAGGATAAGAAAACTCAAGTCTTTGAATAAAAATGAGAAACCGACACGTAATCACTGGACGGGCAGACGAGCGATATATTACAGATTTTGATCCCGCCCCAAAAAATGATTTTAAACCCGGAAGCTGAAATTAGCTGACAATAGCTCAAAATGATGCAGTTTCATCCACAATTAAAGCTGACATGTGCTAACGTTGTCTTAATTGATGCTCAACACAAATCTGTTAGCCTCAAAAAAAGTACTCGAGGGTTTATCAAACCTTTTACAAAAATACTGTAGTAAATGTATTGTTCGTTGTTTGTTTGTGATAGTAAATGTATTAACTTACATTAACTAATACAACCTTACAGTAAAGTGTTACTATTATTATTACTTTGATTATTGACATATGAAATGTTTTCACAATGTAAAAATCCTAATAGTCCTAAACTAGGCTTGATTTTAAACATATACATGTATATAAAACTAAGTATTTCCATTCGATTATAAACATAGCACTGATAATTGTGTTTGTGAGCACAAGTAAAGAGATCTATCTGCTGTCATTACTTGCAAATTTGCAGTTTTCTTTATGATGGACACCGATAAGATTATTCGCATCATTTTTTAAACCAGGCAAGTGTTTTCGGCTGAACTCAGTCATTTAGTGCACCTCATTCTGCGTGACGATCCGTGAGGCCAGAAGCTGCTCAATCTCCTCATCTCCATATCCCAGTGTGTGTTTGAGAATCTGGACTGTGTGCTGGCCGATCACTGGAGGAGGCATCGCACCGACCTGCTCAAAACTACTGAAGCGCACGGCAGGACCTGTGAGGAGACACAAAGAGAAGAACATGAGTTGTGATGTATGTGCTTAACAGCCGAGAGGAGAGGAAACGTCACGCCAGCGGGTCAAATGGACCACAGTGAGAGAGGAAGAAATGGAGTTTACTTTCTTTCTCTCAATCACAGTGAAATAGCTGCTGTAGTCAATTTGTGCACAGCTAGCTTCTGCGTTTTTAAGTAGCTAACTCTTTAACCAGCACCTTTGCACCAGTAACTTTCTTACAATCAGCAAGAAAAAATACATGCATTTATCAAGTGTGCTTCACGTGAGTGGACTTGACAAACCACCTGTAGAAACACTCTTCTCTCAAACAAACAAACAAAAGCACCTAATTCTCACCGATGTTAAATGGCTGTGGCGATCTGCTGATCCTTTAATGGTTTCCGCTACATTTACTCTGCCATGGCGGGGCGCCACATCAAAATTCATCCCGCCACGGCTACATTACAGCTTCTCATTCAAAACATTCAGTCATTGTTGTTGTTGTTTTTTTTAATAGCGGGTATAATGGCACCAAAACGTATTAAAAGCTAAGTGAATTATAACAGCGCAAGCTTTTCTGTACCCGCAGTATTGCTGTGCGGTATTTGTTTAACCCTTTAAGGTAACCTGCTGACAGACTGACAGGTGTGTGATGCGTGAGGCAAGCAAACGCGACATGGCTATTAGTTGAGATGAACACAGTTTCCATAATTATATTTTATTTATAGATAAAGGTCTGTGGCTCTGCCTATGATGACTTTATATTGCTGGAGTTTATAGCCGTTTCACTTTACTTCAGGACGCATTAATGCCGCTCTGTAGGTCTATTGGGGAAATTCATAAATATTCCTAGCAAATCTAATAAATGTTGACATACTCACTACATGAACGAACTAAATCACACTTCAGCAGTGTTTATTTGAGAGCGAACAAGAAGACCTGAGGTTGAGCAGCGTATATTTGAGGGCGTGGAAGAAGTTTTGTGCAGAGGAAATCAGCGCGCAAGCAAAAAGATTTGCATATGCTTGTATAACATAAATGCGATCTCGACTTATTATTCTTTACTCAAACCATTTCTCCATTTGTCATTAAAATAACACCATAGGTAGTTGGTAGATTTGTGTAAAAGACCTGCCGCTACAGCTGGAAAAAATCCTAGAGAAAACACTGCCTTTATAGAATGTGACGCAGCGAAGAAACTTAGCTTTACACACACAAGCAGTGAATTGGGCAGTTCTCTGCTTTTAAAGTAGTTGGAGTGTTTTAATTACTTGCGGTTTTGTCCCTCGCCATAGTAAGCTACAGCCATAAAGCAAACACACACAGAGTCAAATTGTGCACAGCTAGCTTCAACTTGCTCTCCACAGAAACTTCTTCTACGCCCTCAAATATACGCTGCTCAAGCGGAGATCTTCTTGTGCGCTCTCAAGTGCGTGTGCGAGTATTTACAACGCTCCAACTACTTAAAAACGCAGAAGCTAGCTGTGCACAATTTGACTCTGTGTGTGTTTGCTATACTGCGGTAGCTTACTATGGCGAGGGACAAAACCACAAGTAATTAAAACACTCCAACTACTTTAAAAGCAGAGAACTGCCCAATTCACTGCACTCACGACATTTCTCCAGTTGTCAATAAAATAACGCCATAGGTAGTTGGTAGATTTTTGTAAAAGACCTGCCGCTACAGCTGGAAAAAATCCTAGAGAAAACACTGCCTATATAGAATGTGACGCAGCGAAGAAAATTAGCTTTACAAACGCAAGCAGTGAATTGGGCAGTTCTCTGCTTAAAGTTAAATAAAGTGATAAATGATGTCAGTATGTAATAACCAGTTATGATTATTACTGAACCAACACCGAATTGTTCACGTCTGCATCGCAGTGCAATCAAAATAAACAATTAATTTTGACCCCCCTATTGTATAATCAGCACTTTTTTTGTGTATTGACAAAAGCATCTGCTAAATGACTAAATGTAAATGAGTAAAGTTGCTAAACTGAGCTGGAATGTGTCGGAAATCCATTGCGAATCATTCTGTCCTGGTTTATGACAGCATGATAGCCAGAACACAAAACATTTACAATCAATTTTAAACAAAGTGTAGGAAGTGGCTAAAAGCATTTTGTTCCTTCCTGGTCAATTTACTCAAACACGTCAAACCTGCAGAAACATAAACACAGCCTACATATATCCAAATGTGGCATTTACAGAAAGACCATGTCATAATGGATGAGTAGGTCATCAATGTGAGTCACTTCCTCGAAACTTCACGCATTGCTATCATTAGGCAGGAGTTACCATTTATTCCCGCTTTTCTTATTTCCCCCCAGGCTATTTTTACTCTAATAAATTGTTTCTCTTCCCCCGCCATTCTACGATCATTTAACCAACTCTTGTTCCTCAGAAAATTGACATTCATAGATTGTTTTACGCAATAAGAGACAAACACCTCCATACTTCACACATTACTGGCCTGAACGAGAAGCGTCTCCTACGCACACACAGGTCACACTCTCCACAGGAACATAAATGTGTCTTGATTGCTTAACCTCCAACATCCAGAGCTTTCTTCAGATGTTTTCTGCGCTGTTGAGATGTTGCGTGTGGACAAGAGGCGTCTCTTACTAATGGCACTCATTCTGAATAAGACATGCAACATATGACAGAAGCAAGAGCGATGACGCAAATCCCTTCGCTTTAGCTTCTGTGTAAAAAGTCGTGTTTACAGGGCATAACTACTTCCATATGGTGTCTTTGATTCATGGTGCATCCGATATGATGAAGATGAGCATGAAGACTTCACAGGAGCTTCATTTTGAGAATTTCGATTATATTTATGATGGGCCAAAACTGCACTTAAACTTTGTGTGCTGCTGTAGATGTTTTCATCCACTCTGGGGTGATTTTAAGCCTTAATTTGGCCAAACTTTCTCTGTGTTTCAGCAAATGTAATGGTTTTTGAATTTTAATTCAATGCTTCAGAATTTTTCAAAAGCTCAACAATACACTCTGGGCAAATTGACGCCCCCCAGGCAAAGAATTCTACCCCAGATTTGGCTTAAATCTGGCATAGCAGCCATTCATCCAGCTCTGGCATACAGCATGTGGGCCAAACATGGCCCTGGTTTGGCAGAGGTGGCACCGTCTTTAATGCGGCACACAAAACTTGGGCCAGATGCAAAATGTAGTATTTGGACTAGATGTTAATAATTGATATGTGGGCTATGTAAGTTTGTGCTTGACCCACATTTAAAATACATTTTTCATTCATTCATTCATTTTCTTGTCGGCTTAGTTCCTTTATTAATCCGGAGTCGCCACAGCGGAATGAACCGCCAACTTATCCAGCAAGTTTTAACGCAGCAGATGCCCTTCCAGCCGCAACCCATCTCTGGGAAACATCCACACACACATTCACACACACACTCATACACTAAGGAGAATTTATCCTACCCAATTCACCTGTACCGCATGTCTTTGGACTGTGGGGGAAACCAGAGCACTCGGAGGAAACCCACGCGAAGGCAGGGAGAACATGCAAACTCCACACAGAAACGCCACTTGAGCCGAGGTTCGAACCAGCGACCTTCTTGCTGTGAGGTGACAGCACTACCTACTGCGCCACTGCATCGCCCTAAAATACATCTTTATTAATGTCAAACAAAGCAAAAAAGTTCTACCAATCAGGTCGCTTCGAGAAAAAGCATGACCATAGCACACCTGAAGCGCAATGCTTTATGGGTTTAACAATTGCATTGCAGTTGTGACACACCATCATATCTGGCCCAGTTCTGGCTCTGTTTTGGGTTATTAACATGGCTTAGACTTAGCCCAGATATGGTCCATGTTTGGCCCTTCCCCAGTCATGTACTGCGGAATGTGGGCCTGATTTTTCAATGTCTGTTTCAACAATGAAATTCCAATGACCAAAATATACACGAACCGAGAGTAAACAGAGAGTATATTTTCGTTTTTAAGTGAAATATTCCTTAAATAATATTATTACTTTCTCCATGTAAGCTACAAAACTTGTCTTTGTGAAGCTGATGCCATGCACATGTGTATCAAACTATGCAGACAGGTACTGCAGATAAGACGTTTCACATTAAGATAAGAGATTTCAGCCAGACGTAGAGAACACTGCACAGACAGGAAATGAAGATGAGAGTCAACTGGCCATTTAAATAGGAGACACATCCAGAACAGGAGGGTCCGTCAGATCTCCAGTGTGATTGTGTGCGTGTGTGTGGTTTCGCAGCCTCAGCATTTAGGAGTCAAGCTTAAACCACATCCTGGATCTCCCCCTCCTGCCCTTCTCCTCCAGCGGCCGCAGGCTCATAATCGCTCCACATCTGCTTCTCCTCAGATCCGCTGCTGTGAGCGGGACGCTGGCTTTTCCTCTTCTGTCCATCATGCCTGACACACGCCGGACAGACACCTCCAGTATTAGGGATCATTTAAAGTGCTTCAATTAACTCAATATTTCAAGGGGACCTATTATACGTGTTTATAAGGGATTTAAACACAGTTGTGTGGGGACAGTGTGTGAATATAGACCACCTCTAATGTTAAAAATGAATTAATTCTATGTCTGGAACAGTCCTTTGTATGTGTCATCCAAGGTCCCGGCCATTAGTGATGATCTCTCCCTCATTAGCATAAACAGCCCTGAATGAGAAGCAGCTGTCCGCCATTACTTTAGTGGTGTGCCTGCTGGATATCTGCCACTATACTGACGCAACAGCTGCACAGCTCCGCCCTCTTTTGAAAAGAGCACTGTGGGGAGGGGGCGGGGACAAGAGCCATGGGAACGGAATGGAAGCACTTGTGGTGCACACCAGCCTCAAGTCCCGCAGAGGAGCTCTGGATTATGAGAGGAGTGACGACAGAGGAGAACGAGAGAGGTCCAGACCTTGACATGTTTATGTTGTCTTTGTTTCGTTTCAATAAATTCTTTAAAAGTTGTCAGTTCTCTGCCGCCTTCTTCCCGACTGAGTCG